GTACGGAATAGTCTAAAATATTCCGCAAAAGAAGTAGAGAAAAAAGGCAGCGGCATCAACTCGATGTGGTCTAAAGGCCGTCTTTATTAATAGTAGTAGTAGTAGTAGGGAGAATTAAAAAGTAGTATTTCTACCTGCAAGCACAGGACATCTTCATGTTCCGTTAATAAGTATCTTTTCGATACTGCCGGTATTTACATTTCATATATTGACAAGACATCTTTGTTGCAGCCCATGGACATAAGAACAAGGTCAACATTTAAGGCAAACTTCTTAAAAAGAACTTTTGCACAGACAATTGCTCAAACAACACGTGATAATGCTTTCAATACGATATTGCTTTGCGTTAAGTAAAACATTGGTTATTGATAAGTTTCGATTATCCTTAGCTATTATGTTATTCAAATATAATAAATAAAAATGTTTATTGGGCATTCTCAAAGGCATAAAATAAACTTTATGCTTTTGTATGCACATTTTTACATTTCTGCATGAGCATTTGCATAAATGTTTCAAGTCACTGGTGGGATGCTGGATACATGACTTTGAATATGATAAGGGGACTGTTAGTTGAATTTTCCCACAATCATGCGAGTAGACCTTACGCTTCTATTCAATTTCCCATAGCTTTGTCTTCCAAAATGGTATAGCATTTTGGTAGGGGCGGACTGCCGTTTCAGCCTCGCCTGAGCTGATCTCATCAGCACCTTTTGCGGGACTCGAACCCGTTCTGTTGTGTGATAATCGAGGAAGCAAAGTTGTATTTGCTATGACAATCGGCTAAATAATGTATTTTTCGTCTATAAGTAGGTTTTCGATACTACCAGTACCCACCCCATTTGTTTGAGTTGTCGACGTTACTTTATGTTGTAATCACTTCGAGTAGTCAGCTTTCGACGATACAGTTTACTTGTCCTAATCGCGACCTGTCTGTACTAACTTGGTAACTGATTCGTGGATGAATCATAGTTTTAACTTCCATATGACTCACGACGCCTTCTGCAATTGGCTCCAATCAGAGTGTCTTGTCTTGGTCAATTTCAACATTGGCCACTTACTTATGAGTAGGCAGTCGAAGTAAGTGAGCGCCAGCATTACTGACTGCCTTCGAGGTGTGTTCATATGATTCTTGAAATAATGTGTGTATGTATGTGTGTGCATGCGTCTGAGTAGATGACCTCAACCAATCTCGAATCTGGAGAACATTTTACTGCAACTTGCTTCATTTGCTTCCGCCCGTTTATCTCGTTTTAATTCGCCAAAGCACACGCTCAGTCGACCATGCCTACCGTGCCAGGGCTCGTTTAGCCCACCGTCTCCAACCGGCCAGTCTGGCCATGGATACAGCCGCGAATGTCGTCCGAGTAGTTGGGCCCTTGGTAGCTGTCTGTCAGTGTGTGCCTTTGAAGAGCTACCGCTCTTCTGCCTCTTCAAAGCCACACATACACATCCGGACACGCGAGTTGGGCTTGCGGGGTTGTTCAAAAGGGATCATTGCTTCAGTCGTTTTGTCAAGCAGAAGTGTGCACCCACGAGCACAGCCGGTAGCGCACAACAACAGACTAACAGACTAACAGACGACCACACGAGCCGACTAACAGAAAATCATATGCACAGGCTAACACATCAAAACACGAACAGACTAACAGACAAGCATACAAGTTGATTAACAGAATAACATATGAACAGATTGACACACGAAAATGCGTACAGACTAAGAGAAGAGCA